CTGGAGCAAACGCGGAGGAACGTTGCGCAGCGAGACGTTTCGTGGGTCATCGACAGCGACGGGCAGACGCACGAGGTCTGCTTCCGAGCCTGCAACAACCAGAGCATGTGCATCGAAGACCTTACAGAGAGCGGGCTCTGCTCTGAGGAACAGCTCTGCATCACCTGCACGGCCAACGTCGACGATTTCTACACCTCCTGCTCCTCCTCTCGCCGGACAGACGCAGGAGTAAGTCTCTTCCCCACCTACGTCTGCGGGGACGGAGTGCTATCAGTGGGAGAGGAGTGCGATGACGGGAACACGATCAGTGGAGACGGATGTGACTCCCTGTGCCTGATAGAGTGCGGGTTCCATCTCGACGACCACCAGCAGGTGGTTCCGACGTGGAACGACGGGCTGGTTGTGCTGGGAGAGAACTGCGACCTTGGGAACTTGTCAAACGCGTCAGGATGCTGCGAGGGGCTGGCGATGAGAGGCTTCCTGTGCTCTGAGTACGACGGTGACGTGTACAATCCCAGCTGTCGTCCAGCTTGCGGTGACGGTCTCGTGGTACCGCACGAGGAGTGCGAGACATCCTTCGAGGGCTGCTCGTCGTCCTGCTCGCTCCTCCCGGGCTGGGAGCTGAAGGCTCAATGTCTCGTCCTCTTCCCGCAGACTCCCGAAGTTCTCAAGTGCTCGTACCAGCAGTTCGAGGTTGACAACTACGTCAAGAGGCAAGTCTGCAGCCCCGACCCCGTCTGTGGAGACGGTCTGGTTGTTGGGGCGGAAGAGTGTGACGACAACAACACAGTCAGCGGGGACGGATGCAGCGCTTCCTGCACCATCGAGACTCACTACTTCTGCTCTGACATCGACCCGGCACACCCAGTTTCAGTGTGCAGGCCCGTCTGTGGCGACGGGCACGTGGTGGCCCCGGAGACTTGCGATGATGGGAACCTAGTAGGAGGAGACGGGTGCTCTGCCACGTGCCAGGTAGAAGCTGGGTTCGGCTGCTCGCAACTAGAGGAAGGCAGGAGTGTGTGCAAGGAGATCTGCGGCGATGGATACATCCTCACTCGAGTGTTCGATGACTCCGGCAAGCTGATCTCTTGCGACGACGGGAACGCGCAAAGTTATGATGGCTGCAGCTCAGAATGTACAGTAGAGCAAGAGCTGGGGTTCTCCTGTCGTTCAGACCCTTCGCATCACAACCAGTCGCAGTGCAGCCCCATGTGCGGTGACGGCATCCGGACCCTCAACGAGATCTGTGACGATGGGAACCTGGTCAACGGCGACGGTTGCAACCAGCGATGCGAGGTTGAGCGAGGCTTCTACTGCTCCATCGGAGCTGCGGGTGTCAAGGCGACTCAAGTCATCGATGCCAAGACGTGCCTGAGGGACGTGATAGGGGGAGGAAGCTGCTGCATGCGACTTGATGACGAGACGCCTGACTGCCTGCCTGGGGCAGACATGAACGACGCCAGGAACGGCACAGTCGTGTGCTTGAACGCTTCTCACCTGTGCACGAGCAGCCTGTGCATGCCCAGCAACGGCAGCTCTGCCGCTTACTGCGAGGCCATGAGGAGCAAGAGGATGCAAGTCGCGGTCAACATGACAAGCTTCTCCTTGAACGTCACTTTGACTCGCGTCTCCTTCCCCTCTTACTCTGCTGACCTCTGCACCACTGCCTGCGGCGACGGATATCGAACTCCGGACGAAGGCTGCGACGACCACAACAGGAGGAACGGCGACGGGTGCTCGAGCACCTGTCTGGTGGAGGAGGGTTGGTTCTGCAGCCCCGCCGGCAACGGCCTTGACTCTTGTCGACCAGTCTGTGGCGACGGCGTCAAGATCTGGCCGTGGGAGGAGTGCGATGACGGCTCGTGGAGCATGGCAATCGGAGACGGGTGCACCGATCAGTGTAAACTGGAGGGAGGATACACGTGCAGCTACGACCAGCAGAACCGAAGCCTCGGCCCCTGCTCGCCGACGTGCGGGGATGGAGTCCTGGTGTACCTGGAAGAGTGCGATGATGGAAACAGGAGGAACGGGGACGGTTGCAGCTCGACGTGCTCGGTAGAGGACGGATGGCTCTGTGGAACGATGGAGAATTGCAGCGAGAGCAACACGAGCTACTGCACCAACATCTGCGGGGACATGCACATCGTGGGGTCAGAGACGTGCGATGACGGGAACGTGAGGAGTGGAGACGGTTGCAACCGAACATGTCAAACTGAGTTCGGTTACTACTGCAACCAGGTGGGTCTCTGCTCGACCGCCTGTGGAGATGCGATCGTGATGGGCAAGGAGACCTGCGACGACGGCAATCAGCTCAACGGTGATGGTTGCAGCTCCATCTGTACGGTAGAAGATGGTTTCCAGTGCGTTCCAGCCTCCTGCCCGGGTTCAGGTGGAAGGTGCATGCCGGAGACAGGAGCGCTTGGCTCGTACTGCGACGCTTGTCCTCCGGTGAGAAGCAGGCTGATGGAATGTTCGAACCCTCCCTGCCCTCCCCCTCTCATCACTGAGAACTGCTCGGAGTGGACGATGAGCGCAGGAGGAACATGGGAGCATCTCGAGAACTCCTACCTGGTCAAGCAGGACTGCAGGTCGGAGTGGTACAAAGACGGCTACTGCGATCCCCTGAACAACAAGCAAGCATGCATGTGGGACGGGGGCGACTGCTGCCTGTCAACCTGCTCGTGCGGATACGGCTACGAGACCGTCTGCCACCTTGGGGACCAGGGCGGCTGTGGAACTTTTGCCGGACAGCTGGGAGACTTTCGGTGCCTGGACCCCTCAGCCAAGAGCTCGCCGGCCCCCACGATCGTCCTAGTGGGAGACAAGACGATCAACGGCACAGAGGAGGTGTATCTGTCACAAGTTCAGGTCCTCCTCGGCCCGACCTCCGGCGATGCGCTCCTCTTCTACACTCTCGACGGTTCTGCCCCCATGTACGAGACCGCCAGCAGTCTGGTGGTCAACGGAAAGCAGTACCTCAGCAGCTTCTGGGTCAACGAGACCCTGACCTTGAGGGTAGCCTCCTATCAACGAGGGCACAAGATAGCCGAGACGATCCTCTTCGTTCCTCTCCAAGTCGACAGCCCTCAAGTCCTGCCGTCACGATCGTCACTTGGCAGTTCCATAGACGCTCCTCTCCTCCTCACCATCTCTTCCCGGACAGCAGACGCCACGATCTTCTACAAGGTCACGTCCTTGCTGACTGCGGACACGTCGGCCTGGCAGGTGTATCAGTTCCCGTTCGCCGTCAGCTCGGCGTCAGTTGTCTCGGCCTACGCGACCAAGAGCAAGTTGATGGACAGCAACTTGACGTCCTTTGAGTTTCCCCTGCGCGCACGAGCCCCTGCGGTGGTACAGACGAGTCAAGTGACGGGAGTCTCCATTACCGTCAGCATTTCCACCGACACCTTCGGGGCTGACATCTGGTACACAATCTGCACGGCCGCTGACTTCCCAGGCGTCAAGAACGTGTCGCTCGGCAACGTCATCCAGACCAAGCAAGATTCCTGCTATCCCCTCTGCAACGGCGTCTGCGAGGGCGGCCTTCGACCCGGATACGCTTGTGGAGGTTTGACGGACATAAGGACTTGCTTCGGAGGGGGGGTATGCCTCGAGCCCCAGGTTGAGGTCAGGGTCTGCTTCCCTAACGAGTGGCCGCTTGGAGCCTCGCAGTACGCAGGGACGCTGACCCTGACGAACCCTGGGATGCAGTATCACGTGACCTCCTACGCGCGACGCGACGGCCTGCTGGACAGCGAGCTCGTCTCTCAGACCTTCGCCTTCGACGTCTCCAGCCCGAAACTGTTTGTAACCGCCCTGGACGGCATGGTGGACAACCTGGCCAACGCCTACTACACCAACTTTGCCATCTACTTCTCCGTTCCCACCTCCCTCAGCCGCATCTACTTCGCTATCGACGGGCGGCACCCGACCACTGGCTTGACGGCTCTGCCCGGTCAGAGCATAGTCTTCAACCAGACGGTCAACTTGACATGGATGGCCTGGGTAGCGGCCGATCGCTTCTCCAACGTCTCTCAGCAGATGATTTACGTCAAACTTCGTCGCCCTCGCCTCCTCGCCACCGTTGGCATCTCGCCCAAGGTGACGGAGGTGACGGCAGCCTACGCGTATCCTCCTCAGCCCATGTCGGACCGCAGCAACTACCTGCCGACCATCACGCTCACCATGGTCACCTCAGGAACTCCCAGGATCTACTACAGAGCTGAGAACTCTTCATCTGGCTGGCCCCAGTATGTGGTGACCAACCAGACCATGTCGCTCTTCTCGTCCTGGCTGCTTTACCGAGGTCCTCTGACAGTCGCTTGGAACGCCTCCTTCACCATGATCGCCTCCTACAACAACACCATCGCAAGCGACATGGTCAACGTCTCCTTGTTCTATCGCGAACCTTGCGGCCCTGGAAGGGGAAGCCTCGACGGCTTCGCCCCTTGCTCGGGCTGTCCTGTGGACTACGCGGAGACCTGCGACTGCTCTTCTGCTCGCTGCAAGCCTCCGTGCCCCTGCGTCGCCTGCGGGCCCTCGACCGGGACTCTCGAGCCGGGCAAGACCAACGTGTCCAAGTGCTTCTCCTTCTGCCTGCCAGGCTCCTACAGCCCCGACAACGGGCTCGACCTCGTCGCCAACGGTACTGACTGCGCCAGGTGTTCAGCTGGGAAGTACCAGGACTCCGTGCGAGCAACGGCCTGCAAAGCTTGTCCGGCGGGTCTGACGAGTTTCGTGACCGGTTCCGTGACCATCAGCGACTGCGTCATCGTGGAAGGGCTGTCGGCAGGAGGGTTCCACACCTGCGGGATCCGGAGGTCCGACTTTACAGCTCTGTGCTGGGGGTATGACGCGTTCAGGTGACTACCTTTACCTCCATGACTCGTTTCCTCTGACATCCTCTTCCACCCCCCCCCCCCTCCTCCTCCTCCTTCTCCTCCTCCTCCTCCTTCTCCTCCTCCTTCAGCCAAACGCAGGTCCCTCAGGTCTCGGGAGGTTTCCGTCAGGTCTCAGCCGGCAGCTTCTTCACGTGCGGCATCACTGAGGGCAAGGAGCTGCTCTGCTGGGGGCAGGACTATGACGGGCAAACGGTCGTACCAAAGATCCACCGGGAGGAGCATCCTACCTTCAACGCCACGGCGATCAGGAACTGGACGTCTGTCTCCTGTTCCTCCGGCTACCATCACGCGTGCGGCGTAGCTGACGATCGGATCGTCTGCTGGGGCAACAACGAGTTCAACCAGACCGTCGCCCCGCTGCAGCACAACTGGAGCCAGGCGTCAGCTGGGCAGTACCACAGCTGCGGCCTGACCTTGGACGGAGTGGCTCTGTGCTGGGGAGATAACACTCACGGTCAGACTTCCGTCCCTCCCCTCCCCGGCCAGCGCTGGCGGCAGATCTCAGCAGGTCACTACCACACCTGCGGGGTCCTCGTCGACGGCAGAGGCTTCTGCTGGGGTTCTGCTGTCTACGGCGCCACCTACCTCCCAGCTGACGTGACGTCATGGAGCAAGATCGTAGTCGGCAGGTTCCACTCGTGCGGGCTGACAGCACAGGGAGGCCTGAGGTGCTGGGGAACGAACCAAGACAAGGTCCTCGACCATCCGCAGGTAGCACAGAGGAAGCTAAGGCTGCTCCCCGTCACCCTGACCCTTCGCTCGCAGGACGCGCGCGTCTGGCGGGGAATTACTTCCGGTCTCTTCCACGTCTGTGCCGTCGACTCCAACTTCGTGGGCGTGTGCTGGGGGCGGAGCGCGTACGGCATGACAACTCCGCCAAGCGAACTTTGGCTCTCGTCATGAAAAGCGAGGCCAGAGGGGCATCATCATCATCATCATCATCATCATCATCATCATCAGCAGCAGCAGCAGCAGCAGCAGCAGCAGCAGCAGCAGCAGCAGCAGCAGCAGCAGCAGCAGCAGCAGCAAGAGGATGGTTGTTCTCTTGTTTTCTCTTGTTATGTTGTCAACAAGCGGCTAGTCCTCGTCTATCACGATGTACTTCTTCAACCCCATCCAGGCTTCTCGGAACTTGCGATACCTTATGGAGGCCTTGGCGAAGAATCTGCATGACGTCAGCGACGCCTCGGGACCCGCCGGCTCTCACTTGGCCTCCCTCGCATGATGCTGGGCGAGCCGTTGGGAGATCTTAGCTCGCCTCCCGATCTCTGTCACCCGTCCGATGTTCTCTCGTGCCATCCGAGCTGCACCTGCCTCAGCTTCTCCTCCCCTCTCCTCCCCTCCCTTCCCTTCCCCTCCCCTTTCTCCTCTCCTCTCTCTGTCCTGTCCTGTCCTGTCCTGTCCTGTCCTGTCCTCCACTCCCTCACTCCCCTCCTCCCTTCCACCTGCGTTGCCGCCTTCTCGAGCTGAGATCTCCCCCGCTGCCTCCAGCTCTGACCAGTCCTTCGACAAGTCGTACTCCCTCGAACCTGCCCAGCATCACCCCAGCACGCCTCGCCGCCTCTTCACCTTTGTACTCCCCCATGTTGTAGATCTGAACCTCCCGCGCCCCGTCCCCAAGGCTGTCAAACTCGTCAGACCCGTTCACCTCCCCAGCTGCGTCACTTCTGATGGGCCACGATCTCCCCGTGTAGCTCGTCCTCCTTCCAGCTCCCTGACCTCCCAGTCACAGACTGCAGGGGGAGAAGGGGGAGGGGAGGGGAGGAAAGGAGGAGAAGAGGAAGAGGAGAGGAGAAGAGTAGGGAGGAGGAGAGGGAACAGGAGAGGGAGGCAGCGACCGATGTAGGTGATCCCTCCTGACGTCTTCATCATCCCCACGCCCGTCGCATCTTCCCGTCCACGTACTTCCCCTCGCCATTCTCTCACTCCTCCTCCTCCTCCTCCTCCTCCTCCTCCTCCTCCTCCTCCTCCTCCTCCTCCACCTCCTCTCCTCCTCCTCCCTCTTCCTCCCTCCTCACCATATGCCACCCCCGTCCTGATAAGTGGTCTTCCCGTTCCCATGCGCCTTCCCGAGCTTGAAGTACCCCTCATACTTGTCTCCTGCCGCCGCGCCATGGGACTGACCCCACTGGTAAACCTGCAGGAGGATGAGGCGGGTTTGAACCGGCTCCTCCTCCTCACCCCCAGCCCGTGCTTCTGGTCTTTGAACCATCCACCGATGTAGTACTCGTCGTCCACGTAGAGCAAGATCCCCAGCCTGCCTCCTAGTCAGCCCCTTCCTCCTCCTCCTCCTCCCTCCTCCTCCTCCCTCCTCCTCCTCCTCTCCCCCCTCCTCACCCGTTCATCTGTCCCCGCAGCCATTCTCCGATGTACACTCCTTTCTCCTTGGAGTTGTACATGTAGATCCCCGTCCCCTGCCGCCTCCCGGCATGGTAGGAGCCCTCGTACCTGCATGCCTCTCACCTCGCAGCTCTCCTGCCATGGCCTACCGATGAGACGCGTAGGGACTCTTCTTCCCGTACACGTACACCCCGTACCCCTCCATCTTGCCGTGGTGCCACTGCCCCAGGTAGCAGTCCCCATCGAACCAACAGAAAACCCCGTAGTTGTCGGGCAGGTCATGCATCCTGATACCCTCAGCTCACTCGCGCCCACAGCAGCAGCTCCTGTCACTCACCACAGCCCGTAGTAGCTCTCTCCTCCTCCTAGCGGCGGGTCTGGCCATGCGCAGATGCCCCTGTTCACTCTCTGGCCATCGATGGTAGTTTCGCCCCAGTACTGGATCTTGGTGTTGGTGTTCTTGCTGTACCAGTACTTCTGTCCAAACGCCTTGATCAACCATGACGACTTGCTGCAAACCTAGTCGGTTGATGCTCAGCATTCCAAACCAACTCACGAAGCAATCAAGGATTCGATCTCCTCTCTCCTTGATATCTGCCATGGCAATGCTGCCTCCGGTTCGCGCCGAAGGAAGAAAGAGAGCATGCTGACAATCAATCCGCCTGAGGGTTGAGGTCACATGGCTACAAGGAGGGGAGGCAACGATGCTATCGACCTGACGGCTGCTGATGTTCGTCATGGTCAGCATGGTGATCATGGTGATCTCCTTCTTCCTCCAACTTCTTTACCTTTGAGCCCAGTCAGTACTTCTCCCTTCGCCTCTTCCTCCTCACTCTCTCCCCCGCTCGCTCGCTCCCTCCCTCCCTCCCCTCCCTCCCTCCCTCTCTCCCTGCTTATCTGTTCAACCTCTGCCTTTCCGAGCTTCAGGATGTCGACGCCTTGGAGCTCCTGTTTCATCTGATCTTCATCAATCACGACCTGCTTCCGCCCCTTGCGAGCTCCCTTCTTCTTCCCCGCAGCCTCCTCCTCCTCCCCTTCCCTTCCCGTGGCTGCTGCCTGCTTCGACATCGAAGTTGGGTAGCGATCAGTCGGACAGAAAGGGTGGTGGTGGTCCTCGTTAAAACTAGGAGGTGGGGTTATTCCATTACCACCTATCACCCCTACTTTATGGGCTTTTAGCTCGATAAATTGAGGGTGGGGTATCAATTTGAAGGTGTTGGGGGTGGTAAGGCGGTTGGCCTATGACGGTAGCAACTTGACGAATCTCAAACCAAGACGAACTCCGACAAACAACTCTTCTCCTGCTCCTGCTCCTGCTCCTGCTCCTGCTCCTGCTCCTGCTCCTCCTGCTCCTCCTGCTCCTCCTGCTCCTCCTGCTCCTGCTCCTGCTCCTGCTCCTGCTCCTGCTCCTGCTCCTGCTCCTGCTCCTGCTCCTCCTGGTGCTGGTGCTTGCTGTTGCTGCTGTTGCTGCCTGCCTGCCTGCCTGCCTGCCTGCTGCTTCTCCCTCTTCTGCCCCCGCCTCCTCCTACCTCCTCCTTCTACTACTGCCTCTTCCTACACATTATCCTACATCCGTCTCCTCCTCCTGCACCCGTTCCTCCTGCCTCCTGCCTCCTGCCTCCTCCTGCTTCTCCTCCCCGTCATCGTCGTCGTCGTTGTGAAAAAATTTCTCACACCATATCAGTGAGGAAATTATTCGAGAGATTCATCAAAATCGTAAGGATTGTTTTGAGAGATTGACAGAATACACACTGAAACATTAAGACCTTACACAAGACTATGAACAAAGCAAAATATGAGAGCAAAATGGTAACAAAATGAAGAGGGTAAAAACATGAACACACTCCTCCTCCTCCATCACCACCGGAGACTCCTTGGGCCACTGGTCGACTTCTCCTTCTCGTCCACATGCTCTTACTTGTTCTCCCAGTCTTGCTTTTGTCCCCCTGCCCCCTCATGCGAGCCTTGTCCCTTCAAGACAATCGAGGTTCAGAGGTCATGAAGGTGCTCTTGACAGAGTTTACTTCGGGACAGCACGCGCAAACACTCGACTATCCCACATTGCTGGTCTCCGATACCTTATAGCCTCTCTCCCTTACGCGATCTTCAATGAGTGTGCGGCGTCAATCTTCGGTAAGATTTGATGCTGGTGCTGCCGCCGCTGCTCCAACTCGCTTCCTGACAGGCTCCTCTTCCTTGTGATCTTCACCTGCTCCTGCTCACCCTAGCTGTACGTAATCAAAGCTACGATGAAATGAGAACTCAATTGGGCCCCGCTGTCTTTCACCTGCTTTGAACTCGACCAGCACACAACACGCTGTGAGCTCTATGCCCTCGTGTCTCTCGTTGTGTTTTGCTACAGCAAGACTTACAGCAAATAGGGAAGTAGAGATTGATATCAATCCACTCTCATGCTGATATTCCACTGAACTTATCTAGACTCATCCTATCTGAATCATTTTGATCTCTTGATACCTCTCCCCTCTTTCTTCCCCAAATTTTAACATCTTTAACCATCCTCCTCCCATCGACGCCCTCATGAACCTCGCCCAACTTCGCGTTCCCATGCTGCTCCCTTTCTTCCCCTTCCTTGCTCTTCATGCTTTCCGTTGCTGTCCACATCCATGTCCTCTTCTGCTTCATCCTCACTCTCCCCCTCCCCCTCCCCCTCCCCCTCCCCCTCCCCTCCCCCTCCCCCTCCCCTCCCCCTCCCCTCTCTCTCTCTCGCTCCTTCCTCGGATTATCGTAGTTCAAGGCTTGCAAGCACCACTACTACCCCTACCCCTCCTCACCCCTTCTCATGTACCCCTCCGAATCATGTGCGGTTACTTTCCGTTTTGGGGTAATAACTTATGGAAGATACCTTCAAGGGGGTGGGGTGGTATAGAGGTGGGGTGGGTAGGGGTTGAGCAGTATGGCAGGGGTTTACACCATCTATCAAAAGGGTTTATTTCGTACGGGTACGCGCTTACATACCCATGGGTAGGGTACAACTGAAGGGAGCAGGGTAGGGTGGTATATCTGGGGGAGCGAGCATGAACATGGGGCATGTGATGATGTTGGGGAGGAGGAGGAGGGGAATGGAGAGGGAGCAGGAGCAGTAGCAGGAGTAGCAGGAGCAGCAGGAGCAAGAGCAGGAGGAGGAGCAGGAGCAGGAGGGGAGACAGGGAGACAAGATGATAGGAAGACGGGGAGGAGCGGGAGGCAGGGAGGGAGGCAGGGAGTGGGATGGAAAGGGGGAGGTAATTTTAGGGTAGAGGGGGTTGAAAGAGAAAGCGAGGTGGGGCATGCAAGGAGAAGAGCGGAATGATTGCTTGCAGAAGCAGAGCTGACTGACAGAAGGGAAGAACTTGTGAAATAGAACGAATGTATGTAACTTTTACAGAAGGTCGTAAGATGAAAGGTTTCACAAGTGATTCTTGATCGGAACGGAAACGTTTCTGTGAAGCAAGTATGAGAGATAGCAGGTTAAACTCGCACTCTCAGGCATCCTTGTTGGAGCAGAGGAATTTTCGTGTTATATGAAAGAAAACCTGAATACAGATGCAGAGATCAGGGACTGTGACTATTGAGAGAACATATGAAGTGAGGTGATAGGCTGTCAGGAGCAGGAGCACGTGATGTGAAGACATCATAAATGGAGGATGCGGTATGCAGCAAGAAATCAGACAAGAATTAGTGAAAATGCAGCTTTATCCAAGTCTTTTGACAAGGGACCTCAGCGGAACATGCCTGACTGTAAGTTGTGAACAGATGATAAGGATGAACAAGTATAGCTATCTCGGGATATTGTCGTCTTTCGGTGGTATGTTTGTTGTTGTTTCAGCATGTTCAGAGTGTCTTCAGCTGACTGGCTCGCGGTTTTCAGTCGCGATCTGTTTCAGATGGATTCTAGCGGAGCTGCATCGGCGGAGGTTGACGATTACGCATTCAAGGCGCTCGAAACTAAAGAAGATTGAAGTCTTGGAATCCAAGTCTGAGGTGGAAGCTTCGATGATGATGATCATGAGGAGGGGGGAGGAGGAGGAGGAGCAGGAGGAGCAGGAGGAGCAGGAGGAGCAGGATGAGGAGGTCCTTCTTGGCTCATCAGTCTCCCACCAGGTGGCGAAGCATCGGGGATACAAGAACTCAGATATCGAGCTGGTCATCAAGAAGTTGGTGGAGGAGAACGCGCTGGGGATCGATGTGCAGGTACATTTGACGACGTTTGCCGCCCTCTCTTGACCATGGCACAGCCTGTGGCGATCTGCTATGACATGGATGCTCTGAAGGAGACTCTCTGTGCCCTCAAGTGACCCTCCCCTGGGCCCTTGCCCGTCCTCACCCTTTCCCCCAGGGTCGCGTTCCCCGGCAACTTCACTCACTGCATAGCGATCAAGAGCAACCCGCTTCCTTTCTTCTTGAAGTTCGCCGTGAGGATGGGCTGCGGACTGGAGGCTGCGTCGTACGCCGAGGCGCTGCTGGCCTTGAGGTGGGTTTGACGCTTCTTCCTCCTCCTGAGCCATGCTGAACCCCTGCTGAAGGACTGGCTGCCCTCCGGACAAGATTATGTTTGACTCCCCAGCTAAGACCCGAGCTGACATTCGGTTTGCGCTCGAGTACAACATCCAGATCAATGCCGACAACTTCTTTGAGCTTGATCGCATCGCGGAGGAACGGAAGAAACTGGAGGTGAAGGACTCGTCTACCTTGTCTTTCCCCCCTCTCCTCTTGCTATCCCATGCTCCTTCCTGCTCCCTGCGATCTCACGCGCAAGCTGCCACAGGACTCGGGGTTCCTGTCGTCGTCGGTGATCGGGCTGCGGATCAATCCGCTGGTGGGAGAGGGGAAAATCAAGTCCCTGTCGGTCTCGGACGAGAGCTCCAAGTTCGGCATCGCACTCACCGCAGACGCCAAGACGGTGATCCTCGAGTACTTCCGCCGGTTTTCCTGGCTCTCCGCTCTGCACTGCCATGTCGGGTCGCAGGGCTGCACGCTGTCCCAGCACGCGCAAGGAGCGAAGAAGCTGTTCGAGCTGTGTGAAGAGATCAACAGGGAGGTGGGCAGCACACGAATCAGGCGCATGGACATCGGAGGGGGGCTGCCGGTGAACTTCGAGTCGGAGGAGATCTCTCCGACCTTCGACGTCTACGCTAAGACCCTCAAGGAGGAGGTTCCCGCCCTCTTCCGCGGCGACCTCACCGTCATCACCGAGTACGGGCGGTCAGTCAGCGCCAAGGCTGCGTGGGCTGCATGCTCCATCGAGTACATCAAGACTATCTCTGCGGACTACGAGATCGCCGTCATCCAGGCAGGAGCTGACCTGTTCCTACGCACCTGCTACGTCCCGTCCAACTTCTCCCTCCGCGTCACAGGGCATCACAGACACTCGGGGAAGGAGCTGCAGCCGCACGCCGAGAACGTCAAGGCCGGCAGCGAAGTCGCTCGCCGGGTGAAGCGATACGACGTGGCGGGCCCGCTGTGCTTCGGAGGAGACAAGATCACCGTAAACCGCTCGATGCCGCAGCTCCTCGTCGGCGACTTCGTCGTGGTGCACGACGTCGGAGCCAACACGCTCTCCATGTTCTCTCGCCATTGCAGCAGGCAAGCGCCTCCTGTCTATGGTTACCGCAGGCGTCAGGAGGGCGATGGGGTCGAGGTTGTTCTGATAAAGGAGATGGAGCCTGTCGAAGACGTCCTCAGGTTCTGGTCTTGTCCCTTGTAAACGTTTATTCTTTCCTAGTTCATAGAAATGTAAGAATTACAGATTTTTCTTTAGCTCTGATCTTCAGATGCTTCTCTCGCACCCTCACGCCAATTGACTGAGTTTCTCCTTTAGTGCAACGACCGTCCATGCTGTGAGCAAGCATTGTGGAAATCAAAACAGAGGCTTGGGCTTGGCACCTTTCTTCGTCGATTTCTTGCGAGTGAACTTGGGTCTACTGCACCTCCGCTTCTTGGGTCGACTCTGTGGACCGCTCTTGGGCTCTAATCGAGTGACTGAGAGATTCTGAAGGTTCGTAGCGATATCGTCGAGCTCGTCGTGCTCCTCTTGCTCTTCAACTGGCGGAACAAACGCAGCGTATGAGCGATGACGAGTACTGCGGACTTGCTCGACACTGTAAGCATTCATGCGACCAACGATTCCTTTTCACTCACCATTGAACAAGTTTGGAGATCGATACTCGGGCGTCTTGACCTGGTCAGTGCTTGCAGGCGTGGAAACTTGGAGGTTATTTTGAATGCGGTTCTCATTCAAGTCCATCTGTGTGAGTGGTACTTGAACATCGTTTTCCTGAAGAAAGTCACCAAGCCGCTAGTCACAGTCCATGAATCCCACCTCAGCATTATCTTCGTTGTCGCTGTCTTCCCACATAGCATCGAAGTCATTGTCAATGTAATTTTCAGTGTTCTGCGTCAATTCTTCAGGCTCCTCTACTGTTGTCTTCACTCGTAATTCGACGGAATGATATGGCGTAGATGATTTTCCAAGCAGGTAATTTTCAGGAGGCGAGGTGTACCTAGATAGTATGAAGAAAAGTTTCACATGTCAAATATCACATGATGCAGTCATCAGTCTTCGAGTCTTGGAATCCGGGGATATCAAAGTCTTGTGGAGGTGGCTGCCAACTTTTGAGATGCATGAGATATGTGACTTTCTTGTAACCCACATTCTTGGGGTCGAAGTAAAGTCGCATTGTGATGCATCTCTCCTTGAAAACAAAATACGGTCACGGCACATTCTCATTTGATGTGTATAAGTGCCGAAAACAGATGAGAAAGTCGATTGCACCTCGGGCAGAGCGCTCAGAGTCCCATTCAGTGAGACCACCGTGCGCACAAACTGGCCTGTGTCAGAATAGCGCTTGCTTGTAAACTCGCCTCTACACGTACCTGTGAGCTGAGTTGCTTCACCTCTTTCTGAGTATATCCTATGAAATTCTGCACATGGTTCTTTTCTTTACTGTTTCCTCTCTCAATATTCAAGCTCCCGTTTGCGTCAATCTTGAAATACCACGCCTCCACTGTTGCAATTCAACGTCTGGGCAACAAGGTACAGTGAACTCACCCAAGCAGTTCTGATCCTTTTCAGTGTAAATGCCGAAGACAAGCATCTTCAAATGATTTTGTTTCAATGCTGTGAAGACACCTGGGAAAGCGAGATTATCCTTCGTTCTTCTGTTCATTGGTACATGAAATTCCTTCTTCTAGCCAATATAATATCTTGTCCGCCTTGAACAAATCATCAGAAACAAGATCCTTCATTTGGCAGAATTCGAACATCTTCATTCACGTGCTTGATCAAGGCATGAAAATTCGTCGCGCCGAACTTCTTCAGTGTGAAGGCATTTTCCGAGAAGATGTTCCGTATGAAACATATCTGATCTTCATACATCAGACTTTAAAATGTTTCCTCCTCATTTATCTTTGCGACTCACCTCACTCAACAGAGCTGCCAGCAGATTCTGAGTGACATAAAGAGAAGTTTTCTTCGTCATCATCGTCGCCGCTGCTGTTGCTGCCGTTGCCACCGCCATCGTGGTCTTCGCTGCTCTGGACATCGCTCGACCCACAAACTTTTCTTTGGCGGGATCTTTTCGGTGTTGAACCTTTCTTTACTCAAAGTTAAGTTAAAAATCAGTACGAGGACAATCCGGAGAGTAGTGAGTCCTGAGTGAGTTGCTGAGGGGACTCGATCCGGGCCGGCCGGCCGTCCCTGGCCCGCCGGCCGGGCCGGCGGCCGGCGCGGCCGGCCGAACAGGCTGACCGTCTTCCGGTAAGTCACGGTCCACGTTAACAAGACTCAGAACAGCCGTCACTATGTTTAAGGTTAAGAAGACCGGTATGCACGGTGCCTGGACATACGGCGATCAATGAGGAAAGAGAGATCCTGCTCAGTGATAGTCCTTGTGATTCGTTCAGAGTACTTCCCCGCGACTCAGAACTTACCTGAGACATCCCAGGTCAAGTCACAGTACTATTCCCGTACTAGTGAGTTACGTTCAAGTTCCAGACTGCCGTACCGGTTTCAAGTCAGCAGACTGAGCAGCTGAACCAAGACTCAACAAGCAGATTGAAGCGAAAGAACCTTGCCAAACAGAGCGATGCAACACAACAAGTTCAGCTCTGCACAAGCACTTTGGCATCCACCGTCCTCACTGAGTCATGTCGATCATGGCATCAAGTAGCAAGGCGAGAGTGTGAGGGCAACAGCCAGCATGTCCTACTACCCTGACTACTACTACCTACCCCCTGGTCAGGGGTACGAGGTCAGAGGCAGCAAGCATGTCCTACTACCCTGACTACTACTACCTACCCCCTGGTCAGGGGTACGAGGTCAGAGGCAGGAAGCATGTCCTACTACCCTGACCAGGATCAGAGCATCAGGTAACAAGGCGAGAGTGGGAGGCCTCACGTCATCATCAAGCGTCTATGCCGCACATCGCCTTTTATTGCTCACCCCTACACCCCTCAAGCCTCCTCCCTCCTCGCCGCTCTACCCACGCGCAGCTTGTCAAGGATCTGAGTACGTCTGGCTCGTGGGCATCGGTGAGAAGCTTGATGCAGTGCCGGAGGGCGTCGAGCTGCTTCCTGCGGCTGGGACCCGCGTCGTGACGCAGCAGGCTTGATGCGGATGTTCCATCGACGGGGGATGCGGAGGAGGAGGGCGGCTTGGCGGAGGAGGAGAGAGCATCAGGAGGCGAGGAGGAGGAGCAAGGGGATGGGACATGACGAGACATGCTTGACAGACGAGAACGGATTCTTGTGTGTGTGTGTGTGTGTGTGTGTGTGTGTGTGTGGCTTCGCCGGGATGTGCGCTAGAGAACAGGATGGAAAGAGCCGAGGGGTTGGACAACAGCACAGAGCTCAAGGGAGGGATGAACGGAGGATCGCAGGGGTAGGAGAGGGTGGACGAGGAGGAGTGGTGGGGGAGACGTGTGAGTGGAGGGAGGGAGGGGAGCAGTGATCTACTTCAACACTCTCCCCGCCTGCTTCGGGGTCTCCCTCCGTGACCCTCGTATCCCCTTTGGTAGAGCCCCGTGACCGGTCAGGATTATTATCTACTTTTAAAAGACAGTACCGCAGAGAGTTTACTCATCGAAGGTATGTCGTATCTAGTCCACGTAACCCAGCTCAGAGTCACGTCTCACAAGTTCGTGACCATCGGGTACGAAAGTGCGCCCAGTGAATCGGCGCCCCGAAGGTCGGCACAGTGACAGCGAGCAGCCTCCTGTAAGCTTCTTCCCTTCTTCCCCTCGGATATAACACAGTACGGTACCTCCGGAAAAATCTAGAGAGTCACGAGGGCCCGAAGGCAGTCTCGAGCACCCACGAATCATATCCGAAGTTTCTCCGCCCCTCTAGAAGACGATTCAGTCGGTTGTATGTGATAGAGCATGACGACGAAGTGACCTCTTTTCGTATCATGATATGCTGTAAGCTTCGAATCCCCGGAGGTCCGGCAAGGAAGCCTGATATTTTGATACGCTCTCGTGATGGTATGTAAGTAAATCTGTAGTGGTACAAATGAAACCTGACGGGTCACGAGGACTGTACGAGATGCGAGGGTCACGGAGGGAGACCCCGAAGCAGGCGGGGAGAGTGTTGAAGTAGATCACTGCTCCCCTCCCTCCCTCTACTCGCACGTCTCCCCCACCACTCCATCCCCTCTGTTAGTCCTCTCACGTGCATTCACACACCAGCATCCGTTCTCGTCTGTCAAGCATGGCTCATCGTGACTCGTTATCCTCCTCCTCGCCTCCTGATGCTCTCTCCTCCTTCGCCAAGCCTCAGGCTCAGCATTCCTTGCAGCAGGGCCACCAGCTCTCCTCCCCCTCCTCATCCGCATCCTCCGTCGATGGATCTCCAGCATCCGCATCAAGCCTGCAGCGTCACGACGCGGGTCCCAGCCGCAGGAAGCAGCTCGACGCCCTCCGGCACTGCATCAAGCTTCTCACCGATGCCCACGAGCCAGACATACTCAGATCCTTGACAAGCTGCGCGTGGGTAGAGCGGCGAGGAGGGAGGAGGCTTGAGGGGTGTAGGAGTGAGCAATAAAAGGCGATGTGCGGCATAGACGCTTGATGATGACGTGAGGCCTCCCACTCTCGCCTTGTTACCTGATGCTGCCAGGGATGTTTCTGATCCTGGTCAGGGTAGTAGGACATGCTTCCTGCCTCTGACCTCGTACCCCTGACAAGGGGGTAGGTAGTAGTAGTCAGGGTAGTAGGACATGCTTGCTGCCTCTGACCTCGTACCCCTGACCAGGGGGTAGGTAGTAGTAGTCAGGGTAGTAGGACATGCTTGCTGTTGCCCTCACACTCTTGCCTTGCTACTTGATGTCTGTCCTGTTGCATCGCTCAGTTGCCAGTCACAGTGTTTCTTCTTTTCCTGCACAAGGCTTGCGAGACTTTGACATCCGAAGTTCAAGTAGAAACGCTTGAGCATGACCTGTGTATGCTGAGGCAGTTTGAGTAATCGGATCGGACAAGGCGGCTGACTGCTAGGGGGATCATCAGTGGAGAAGCTGACTTGGTCGGCAAATGAGGACGGGCAAGGTGGAAAGCAAATCTGAACTTTCGCACGCCAAACGTGACCTTGATCGCAACGCAGTCGCAGTTACTCACGAGCAGAGCGAGAGTCAGGCTCCTCAGATCGAACCTCGGAACATCCGAGTGTCCTAAGGCCCAGCCATTCCGCTCCTCACTATCATCTCCGGTGAACGTGACCCAGTTGCTTTACTCAAAGTTGAGTTAAAAATCAGTACGGGCGCCTGGCAGTGTAAGGAGTCACGAGGCGGAGACCTCGTGTAGTAAAGAACCATATCTAAAGTTTCTGCGCCCCCTTTCAAGGTTCCAGCCCCTCTACACGAGCCTGGCCCTCTTAAGATACAAGGCAGCCCCTCCCCGCACTCCCTGCTGCTTGGTTGTATACCTCCCTCTGACCTCTGACGTCTAGCTTCAGCCTCTGTCTTGATGGCTCCTCCTCACGTTCTTCGTCCCGTCCTCCCCCTCCTCCCCCCTTCCCCCAGCTCGTCCCCGTCGCTTGACCTCTCGTTCTTGCCCTCCCCTCCCGCACCTGCTACGGACTCTGACTCTCCCCCCATGCCCTCGTCGACTCCGGCCTCCTCTCTCCCTCCTTCCAGCGGCTCCTCCCTCGGCCTCGGCCCTACCCGCAGGAGGCAGCTCGACGCCCTCCAGCACTGCATCAAGCTCCTCACCGACTCGGACAGGCCCGAGGCCCTCAAGTCCTTGCCGGGCGTCACCTGGACAGAACGCCAGGGACGGGGAGGGCAGGAGGCGAGCAGAAGAACAACGAGAGGAGGGGGGAGATGACAAGGAGGAGGAGAGGAGGGAAGGGCTGTGTCGGTGTAGGGTGCGGATACGGCACGTAATAAAGACGTGATAGAAGCTTTCACGGGAGGTTGGGCGAGGAGAGGAGAGGAGGATATCATGACAGGTGCTTGCAGTATTAGAGACCTCCGACTTTGACGAATATACCTCCGTACTCACCTTCGAGTCCTCAGCCACCCAGTCAGACTTTCCTCAAGGAAGTTGAGGCTGCTCTGTGCTGCTGTATGGTATCATAGCCTATCGCTCATTGTAACAGCATACTGCTGGCGTGCTCTCTCAGCCAACACCTCCTCCTCCTCTCCTATACTCGCCCAACCTCCTCTCCCATGCTCGCCCAACCTCCTCTCCTATGTATGCTTGGCCAACCTCCTCTCCTCCCCTCGCCCAACCTCCTCTCCTCGCCCAACCTCCTCTCCTATGCTCGCCCAAACTTCCCGTGAAAGCTTCTATCACGTCTTTATTACTGTAATTACTGCTGTATACACCCTACACTGCTTGTCCTCTCCCTCCCCTCCTCCTCCTTGTCCTCTCCCTCCTCCTCTCGTTGTTCTTCTGCTCGCCTCCTGCCCTCCCCGTCCCTGGCGTTCTGTCCAGGTGATGCCCGGCAAGGACTTCAGGGCCTCGGGCCTGTCCGAGTCGGTGAGGAGCTTGATGCAGTGCTGGAGGGCGTCGAGCTGCCTCCTGCGGGTAGGGCCGAGGCCGAGGGAGGAGCCGCTGGAAGGAGGGAGAGAGGAGGCCGGAGTCGACGAGGGCATGGGGGGAGAGTCAGAGTCCGTAGCAGGTGCGGGAGGGGAGGGAGGAGGGGAGGGCAAGAACGAGAGGTCAAGCGATGGGGAAGAGATGGGGGAAGGGGGGAGGTGAAAGAGGAGGTTGGGAGAAGGATACAGAGGAGCCATCAAGACAGAGGCTGAAGCTAGACGTCAGATGCGAGGTCAAATCAGACGCCAGACGTCAAGGGATGTATAGAGGGGCAGGCAACCATGTGGTAGGGATCCAGGTAACGTGACATAGCGGAACTAAAGGGGGCGGAGAACGGGGAACTCGGAATATATATCGTCAGCCTCGTGACTGCCTGAAGTGACTTGAAGGAGTCGCATGGGCCTTACAGGCGGATATTTCCATGTTGCCGTGCCAATGCCGTGAGAACAACTTTACGGTAGGAGTCACGAGGAAAGTCAATTGATCATATTGAAAACGATTTTTAGTCAATAATTCAAGCACAGGCTAGGCCACTGTTGCCTCGCTACTAGCTTAGCCCACGGTACTGAAAAGTTTCCCCGCGGGGGCCCGCGGCCGGGCCGCGCTGCCCTGGCCCGGCCGCTGCGCCGGCGGCACGCGGCCGCCGCTGGGGGCCGGCCCCGCCGTGTGAGCACTGAGCCTGTCACGGTGCCACCGGGTGAGCCGGGCGACCGGCCGTACGCCCGTGACGCGGGCCGGGCCCGCCGGCGCAGTCACCGCGGTCAGTCCGACCGTCACTTCAAGCCGAATGCCCGGCAGTGCCCGGCACCGTGACCGCACTGTTGCCACGGTACGGTACCTGCCCGGCGGGCCTGACCCTCCAAGCCTCACAGATCAATGAGCTGCCCGCCGTCCGGCGCCGCGGGCAAGACGGCAGCACGCCGGCGCGGCCCGCCTGCCACGGTACCGTACGGCCGCCCGCCCGCCGTTCGCCGGGCCGGGGCCCGGCAAGTTTAGTTCAGTGTGCGTTTAGCCTAAAGTCTAAATGCGGAAACACAGTGGCGATGGCTTGAGGGGATGGAACGGGGGCATGATGTGAGAGGAAAAAAGAGGCGAAATGTTGTGATGAAGATGATGGAGAGGAAATGATTCAATCCAGGATCATTGGAAATCTGAAGAAGATAGGCTGAGGATGAGACAGAGGTAGCCATTTTGTGTTAGCCATGTGTTGATCTGAAGTGAGCGTGTAAGATCAAGCCATCGAAAGCATATGCATAGGTCATATTCAATTTACAGATCAGAGATAGTGTTTGCTTTCACAACTTGCCTGTACGATCTGTCCAAGTGATCTCTTCATGGCAGGAATCCCATTCTTTGATCAGTTGATCCGAGACTATGTTCGCTATCCTGGTCCGGGCGTTTGCTCATGGGGAGATGTTGTACGCGCTCCCCTCAGGCACGGAGAGGGTAAGATGGTTGTTCTCCTGTGCGATCCCGCTCAATCGATGGCATCTCCAGGTTGTTACCGGGGAGGAGGGGAAGTCCGCAGTGAACTCGGCACTAGCGGCTGCGGCAGGAGGAGGGGCTCTCGGTCAGAGCGACCTCTCTCTTGCCAAGAAGCTAGCCGTCTCTCCCGAGCTCCTGCACAAAGAGAAGCTCAAGGCCAAGGAAGGTTTCTGCGAGACTGCCCTCTGGAACTGTACCGATCTCTGTGAGATTACCTTGCGTCTGCTGGTTTGCCTGCTAACCGTGACTGTCCAATAGATGGATCCAACTGAAACATGCGAGTCACCTGAAGGACAGACGTGCTTCTGAGCAATGAGATCGTTCTATGGGGCTAGGATAGTTTAGTTGATTCTTCAATTTCATTCCTATCTTAGATGAAGACTTGTCGCTTTGAAGGAACTGAGACCGACAACAATCAATGAACAAGTACTAAGGTTCACACCAAGTAGAGAGGTACGAATCAAGCTTGAAGCACAAAGAACGAACTATAGTACAACACCACAAAGAAGTTAGGTTTCAGTCGAAGCGATCGTCTCCGTAATACTCCTCAGAGTAGACAACAGCCTTTACGATCTGTCAGTGCCAACAATGGCGCGAGGAAAACCTCACCTGCACAGCCTCACGGAACTCGATCTGCTTCCTATTCAGTCCATTCTTCATCCACCACGACACAAACTCTTCCTGAGAGATAACGCCATCGCTGGTAACACCTTGTCAGATCTACTTGTCACAGACGAGGAGTTTTCACCCGTTAACGTCGATTTCCCTCAGATATTCGCTTATTTCATCGACGTCTCCATAACCCGCATTTCCCAGCACAACTGCAAGACTGCCAACACATCATTCGGATGGGAAATAGTGCCAAATAAATACGCTAACCTGTGCATTTCAGAATGGTCGATCACGCCATTTTCGTCAAGATCGATAAGAGAAAATGCTTCCTGTTTCCACATCCATCACCCAAAAGGAAAGAGGGAAAGCAGAACGCACAAGGATACAGTTGATATCTTGCGTATCGGGGCAATTATGCTTCAACCGCTGGCACTTAGAACTGCTGCGAATGGTTGGTTCGTAGTTCATGGCAGGGCTCATCGCCGCTCCATTCTCGTTCAAGCGAGTGCTGCTGATTGCGCGGAATTCTTTACGGACAGGAAAGAATTGTTTGCGTGTAGCCCTTGACACCCCGTTGAAGATGCCGGCAGAAAGTGCTCTTGAGAAATTTATCCTGAGCATCCCGAGAATGCCAAGATGAAGATTTCTGGAAGCTTTTGATGACGATCGTTGGGGTCTGCAGCAGAAGAAAACAGGATCAGTTTTCGAAACAACAGGAACGAAGCAGAATAAGACACCAATGAAGCGACCCATCTCGAAGAAACCAGACACTCAAGTCAACTAACAAGGAACTCTTCGATATGAGCGAGACAGACATAGAAGGTAAAAGGATAGACCCCTCCAGCTCTAAATCCATAATGAGCACTCCGTCGTCAACATCGCAGAGCCCTCCCCAAATCTCATCAGCAGCGACCTAAATCTTATCCGTTTCTATCCACTCGACCCGATTTCGATTTCTACGGAACTTTTGAACCTCTCTTTCTCTCTCTGCTGCCAACTTTATTCCTGCCAACTTGAATAAATTGGCATGATCCACAGTGAATCAAAGGCATCTACCTCGGCCAACCCTCCACACACCAAGAAGCAAATCTAGATAGTTTGCATGCATTAAGGAAGTCAATTCCCTCTTTCTTCTATCTCTCTATGTCATCCATGCCCTCCAGCAAAGTATGGAAGTTCAACGTCTAGATCAATCCACTTCTTCCCAGCAACGGTACCAAACTCTCACTCAAAAATTCAACACAACTTCGATTCCTTACTCTCAGTGATGATCAAGGACAGAGCAATCATGCCCTTCTTCCTCCTCGCTCTCCTGCACGTACATCTGCAAAGAACAAGTCGAAGACGACCCGTGGCTACACTTGCTCCCGCTGCTCTTGCTTCTGCTCCTTCTGCTCCTCCGCCTGCTCCTGTTCCCCCACATTGCCATTGAAAGATTCGGTTTCACCCACAACAGTCACGCAGGGGTGGGTTGATCTTCAACTTGAGGGGTAGGGTACTTTTTCCACTGTGTATGAGGGGTACTAGGGTGCACATCCACAGGTGGAGGTGTTTAGAAGGATACCCCAGCCTGTAGCTGACACACTTGCAAATCAAAGGGTGGGGTAGTGTGAACAGGGGTGGGTTGTCCGGATATACTCACAAGGTTAGCTCTGATGGGGTAGGGTGGGTAGGTCATGACGGTGGGTAGGGGTAATTTTACGTACGACCGGAAGGACAGCATCTCGATAGATCTCATCGGATTCTGGGGGTAGGCAAGACAAAGGGTAGGGTGTAGTGAAAAAATAAGGGGTACTTTGAGTCGCTCTCTGAAATATTTGGAATAAGTGGGGTAGGGGGTCAATGGTTCTCTATAAAACAAGTTCATGCCCTAGGTAGTACAGGCTGTATAAGGGGGTACTCTTGAAATTTTGTTTTTTTCCAGGAACCATCAAAACTAGGGGGGTGAGGGGTACTGAAGAGAGGGTCGTATGTATGTTTCAGCTTGACAGAACCTTGCAGGGGTAGTCCGAGCAGGCTTTTAAACGGGGAGACCGATGCCCATTAGACTACCCTATAAATGGTAGGGTAGTCCATTGAGGAAAGTAGAGGTGTTGGAAGTACCATTCACGCGCAATGCAATCCTTTACTAGGTGGGGTAGTAAAGGTATAAAGTGAAGGGACTCAAAGGTAAAAGACCGGTACATTTTCCCAAATAAATCGGGTATTCCAGAGGTAGGGTACTTTTAAAATGGAGGAGGTACGACCGCCCGGGACTGTTGAGTTATCCTGGGCTGGTCAACATGGCAGCGACGACTACAAGACTGGAAGCGAAGCGATGCTGGCGTTCTCGTTCCTGCCGGCAAGAAGAGGAAAGATGAGAGACTGAAAGAAGGAGGAGGAGGAGGAAGGTACCCAGGGAGGGATCTCCAGACTTGCGCCCAGACCTTGTTGGCGCTCTCGTCGCAAGTCTCCTTGAAAACATCCTTAGCAACAAGATCAGACCGTCTGGGTCTTGCAGTGCGAGGGCAGAGAGACTTACAGGCTCGAAGTCTTCAAGAAGTTCAGCGCTGCAGAGGCAACTTTAGTACAAGAGCAGAGAATGAGTCAAGAGGGGAGGAAGGAACGCGAGCATCAGGAGCGCGTGCAAGGCAGGTGATATGAGTCGTAGATGGAAAGATGCATCGAGGAAGAAGAGAACGGATAGCAAGAATGCAGGTGATAACGGATGAGAGGCAAGAAGACATGGGATCACGAGACTTACTCGCAGTAGACCAAGTCGCTTGCTGAGAGCATTTCTTCGTCGCCATTGCTCGCAACTTTGCCAGCGTCCCCAGCCTCTGCAAGCAGCCAACCATGATTCTCCAGCTCTCCCTGTAGCTGTCTTGGACCCCAGCTGGAGGCAAGTCAACGCATGACCTGCCGCATGGCTCACCCCTCACCCGGCAAAGCCCATGATGAACTTGAAGTCCGAGGTCTTGGCCTCCCCTCGTCTTACTGTAGGCCCCCGGTGCAATAAGGAGAGATTGAGGAGCGACCGCAGTCAGCAAGAAGAGGAGGAGCAACGAGGGGAAGGGAGGAACAGAGGGGAGGAGGAGAAGGTGGAGGGACGATGAGCTAACAACAACTTGAATCGACTACAGAATGAGAGAGGGCTGAAGAATGAGCACCAACCTTTCTCGGACGCAGCGTCCAGGTCGCACTGCCAGTAGACTCCATCCAAGATCTTAATAAATCCAGTCTCAGAGGTATCTCTCTTGGTCGCAAGAGAGGAGGGGGACTCTGCACAAGTGGAGAGAAGGGTGGAGACAAGGCATTTTGCATCGAGCAGGTGCACAAAGGTGTACCTTGCACGAACCCTCCAAGTCGCCATGCGGATGCAGTATAGAAATGAAATTCGACGACATTCCCTGTCAACAGCAGGTCAGATAGCTTCGTCCTCCTCTGCGAGGTGCTCCATACTCCTCCTTTGTACACTGGGCAATCAGCAAATTCGCGCAGACCTCGCTTCACCTGCCATTGCGATCAGCAAGCTCGACTGTGCGCGCTCGACATGCACATTCTGGCTCCTACTACCGGCCGATGACGATTTCATGAGATCTGAAACCTGTCAGGAATCTCGACGTCAGCCATGACAGTCAGGTCCTCACAACAGCTGCATGATACAACCTTCAGTTTCGTTTTCCGATTCACCATCACTCCCAGAGTTCCATCCGCCTCCTCGTGCTAGACAACGGAGGACATTAAGGAGATAAAAAGGGAGGGGAGAGAGAAAGCTTACCTTCAGGATGATCAGGATCCCCCTGTTGAGACTAAATGACAAGAGCGGATGGGCCAGCAGAAACTGTCCTCGTTCGAATGAGCCTTCCTTTGCAACCTTGATATTGTACTTCTGCCCAGCACTCGAGGGAACATTGTCGAAAATCCCGAGCTCTCGCGCCTTTGCAAGGTTTCTCTCTAGGACTTTAATCGCGCTGGTAGCAGCATCGAATAGAAGGTCCTTGTTGGTATTGCCATCCAACGGAGATCGGAAGGCTTCACGGATGACGTGGACTGCCTTGACCTCTGGCAGGTAGAAGGTTCCTCCACCATTCATCTTCCTCACGTAAGGCTCCATAAACCTTTGCTCCTTGGTCGCAACCTTGTCCTCTGAAGGCTTCCAAGATTTGGTCCGATGATCATAAAATCTTCCAGGGGTGGCGATGAGCAGAGCTTTGATTCCCGGGTTCTTGTCATGCTGCTTGGCCGTTCGAAAAAGAATCCGATAGAAAGATCGTACAACTCTCGCTGACATGTTCAAGGATAGGAGGAAAGGTGCTCGTGAACTCAAATCCCTGGATCCTGTGTCATGTGGTCCGGATTTTCATGCATGCCTCGCACACGATCACTGGTTCCACCAGCCCCTCCTTCTCCAACGAATGTGCAGACGGCCTGCAGAAACCAGTCATCATCCTTGATAAAATTTGTGTTTGCAGCTAATGGAAAGGTTGGAGGGGGTCCGAGGGAGGCGGGAAACGTGAAGAGAGCTTGTGCGGAGCAAGTGCAATACTTCATGTGAAGATGTAGAGGACATTTGATCAGCACAATACCACAGGCACAACATTCTCAAAAATAATAGGTATGCAAAGGCGATAGTAGTTTCTTATAGACTGGATTGTGCGTTATACCAAAACATCCATCTGTTGCACTCCCTGGTACACACACCATACTGCCAACACAACTCTGTCTGAATCACATGGATAAACATCATTCAATACACTTTTACTTCACTCTCCTCCTCTCCTCTTACAGTGCCATCAACTTTCCTGTCGACCTCTCTCTAACCACATTTTCGCTCCAACCACAGTGTCGAATCCTTCACAAGTCTCTGTGCCCTCCACCTCTACCTTGATCTTTCACCATTATCACTTCTGTCTGAAACCAATCCCTTCTAGTCCACGTAAGCCCTCCTCCTGACTACATGCATCACCCCCAGTATCCATCGAGATCATTTCCTTTCCAGCCTCTGCTGGAAAAAACTCCCCGTCATCCTCCTCCCACCATCTCTACCTGTTCCTTCTCCTTCCCTCTGATCGCATTTCTCCATGACTCCGTTAGCAATTGTTCGTCCCCTTCCTTGCTCTCCTGCTGCTTCCTCCGCTTCCCCCCTCCCCTTCATTCCGTTCCCGGTCACTGCCTATTTGCTACTGCATTTTGGACATCACCTGCAAATTCCCTTAAAAAAACATTGTTATATATACATATTTACATTGTTGTGCTGTATACAATTTTGTTGATAGTACAAAATTTTGTACTATTTTTTATAATTATGTATTTATATTAGCTGATCCTCCAGGTTATTCAGCTTTTATGTTTCTATGTGGGGGAGTCTCTGGTACAAACAAAAACGTTGTGGTTGACATATAAAATAAAAGGACCGAGGATCACACTAGCCTTTACTCAAAGTTAAGTTAAAGATCAGTACGAGGACAATCAGCCTGATGAGTCACATGACTCATCAGCCTGGGCAGTGATGAGAGTCATCGGACTCTGCCAGAGCCGGACGCCGGGCCCCGGCCCGGCCGGCCGTGCCGGCCGCGCAGAAGCGGCGGCCCTTTACTAGGCTCACTCGGAAGTTGAAGTGATCATGTCACATCGCCAGGCTATGATAACTGAGTGTTGAAGTGACTCACTGCCGCTATTCTTTTTCTGGGGGGGGGGCGACCCAGATGATGATGAAGATACTACAGCGCATCGGAGACAGCAGCAACAAGGCTCACCGGAACTCTACCGTGGCAATTCAGGACAGCGCTATCCACAAGACTCCATGACATGATGGCAAGTCTAGCCGCTGAGCCAGCATACCTGGAACCGTGAAGAGTACCTTCACTGACATACCACGTGACCTCTCGGGGCGACTCTAGCACAAACTGCTATTGCTCCTACGGAACAGGACAGCACGGCGGTGATACGGAGTCACCTCTGAGAAACTTCTGAGAGCGCCTGCAACGTGAAACGCCGCGGACTCGAGAGGAAAATTCTCGCAAACGTGAGTTTACTGCACCTCCTCGTGATCAGAACATTTTACAGCTTACCAAGCGCGACCCGACATCCAAAGCAAAGGATACCCGCATTTACTCTCAGTCTCTCGCAAGGATGCAATCCAGCGGTAGAAAACGTCTCCACTTCTTCAACAAGAGTCAAGACCCGTTACAAGATTCTGAAGAGTTGCAAGAACGAAGTACTTCATCAGGGACACGAATCATGAACAGTACCAAGCTCTCGTCTCACAGCACAAAAACAACAGGGGACAAAAATTCTGTGGTGGCCGTGATGGCCTGAGTGAGTGCCGCTCGAACTTGAATGCGGTGGAAAGAGGCACTGGATTCATCACGTTCTCTCAACCCTCTTTGCTCATCAAACACCATGACCTGACACCCTCCCTCTGCTCCCGGCGAACTGGAAGATCAAACAGCAGCGTCCAGCAGCAACATGAGTGAAGGTATCTACAGCTGAGTGCTACCCTTGACACTCTTCCGACGCCCTCACACCGCCTCCACGTCCATCTGCAAGTTGCCTGCTCAACAACCGTCAGCGACCCCCGGCAACCGACAAGGGCGAGCGAGACCGAGCAGGTTGAAAGGACGCGACTTGATCTGCCATGGTCCATCACAAGAAAGAACAGGTCAGGTAGTTCCCACCTGGCGCCCAGCAAACGCGGGGAAGACGCCGGGCCTCGCCCTCGACCTGCTCGCATGTCGGCGCGTTGGTCTTACCCGCTGCAGTAACCCATCAGACGACTTCCTCCTCCCTCCACGCTCACAGACCGATCTCATCCTCAAACTCGTTCTCTTGTGCTCTTTAGCAGCCTCGAGCCTCTCCCACGTCCTCGCAGATGCAGCAGGAGTGTGCGAGGCAACATGCTCTTGCCCACCCCTCGCCTGCTGCCCATCGTCCTGTTCGCTGGGGCTCAGAGCCTGCGCGTACTGTCGGAGGGACCCGGCAAGGCTGGCGAGGATCTTCTTGGACGTGTGCGCTACTGGCTTCTTCAGCTTAGCGATGTTCTTGTCGATGTCGACGGACGCGCTTCTCAGCTCCTCAGCGTCGTACTTGTGGCCGAGAGCAAGCCGGGCCTCCTTCTCTGCCTCCTTGGCTGCCTGCTGGTAGAGTTTTGCCTTGAGCGAGTAGTCGCTCACTGACTCAGGGGTCAGCTGCCCCGCTGCCGGTCGCTCCCCCCAGGACCAGCCCGAGCTGAGCTGGAGCAGGATGTGCGAGTCCTGATTCTTCTCGTACACCACGAGCACCACAAGAGCCAGCGCTGCCATGACGGCAACCAAGTCCCTGGAGAGGGACATGGGCTCCGTGATTCACCTAGGCAGTCGCGTCAGCCAAGTGCGGCGATGAGAAGGTTGTTTCCCTTGTTAGCCTCCAAAACTTTGACCACCACCTCTCTGTTGTTAGCTTACCCTTCCTCTGACCATTAAATCTCACTCAATCAACATGCTCCCAAGGACGGACCATCCTCCCATCCTGCTAGATATATACACTATCTGCAAGTGTTGTTGACTTTGTTTCACCGGACGCCCCCCCATCCCCCCACCCCCCTTCCTCATGATCCTCCTCCTCCTACCTCCTCATGCTCCTCCCCTCTGATGTCATCGATTCCTCCTTGCTCCCTGCTCTCTCCCTGACTATCCCTCCCTCCCTTCCACTCAACTCGCATCTGCCATGAAAAGTCGGGGGAGAATTAAATCGGTTTAAATCTTGACTTATCAGAGGGTTTAAGAATTGGATCGAATAAAATCAATTTCAACCGATTTGATTCGATTCTGTGCTAAATTGGGTTCCATGGCCGAAAGTGGCAATTGGATGTGGATGGCGACGAGGAGGGAGGAGGGAGGAGGGAGGAGGGAGGAGGGAGGAGGGAGGAGGGAATCTTTAGCGCAAGGAGGAGCCGAGCAGAGCAACGTGAAATTGAGAGAGAGGGTGACGAGGAGGATGATTGAAATGCCCGAGCAAAGAAGCTGAGAGAGGAAGCAAATGGGAGGAAACAAGCAAGAAGTTGAGCAGGACCCCTTTTGAAGAGGCGAAAATAGGAGAGAGGAAGAGAACGAGTGGCAGAAATCCATGGTCATGGTCCTGAAAAGAGACGGGAGAGGATGGAGGTGCTGGATTGTACCCGCCTGACGCGTTGGCAGAAGCCAGGAGTGCTCGCCCCCCACTCTCCATGTGGAGGTACGACCATCATGGCGACCATCATGGCGATGGCTTGATAGCTCCAGTCTCCTCTATGTCCACCGTCCCTCGAGCTGCATGGCTCAGCAGATTTCTCTCTGCCGCCCTCATTCTCTTCCTGGCTGTCTGCGCCTTCGCCTTTCTCAGCTCCGATCGCCAGTCGTCGCTGCTCAGCAACGAGGATGCAGTTACGAGCCTGGCGATGAAGAGGTGGAAGGCAAGCCTGTCGTTCCATGGCATTCCGGGTATGACGCAGTACGAGTGGGACCTGCTGCATGCTGCGGCAGGAACGAAGGTGAAGGGAGCGCAGGTGAGGAGGAGGGGGAGGCGCCTTGCAGTCTGTCTGACGGAGCTGCGCAGAACTTTCGAGAGTCGGAGGAGAAGAGACTGACGCACGAGCTCTTGCGACAGAATGTCTTCAGCAGCCACTACGACCAAGTGAAGTCCATGCAGGAGGAGGGAGACGCGGGGAGGAAGGAGAAGGAGGAGGGAGAGGACAGGGCCGAGAAGGCAAGGAAGCCCCGTGAGAGGCTGCGGGCGGTGGAGACTCTTGCTCAGCGGAGGTGGAGGAGAGGAGAGGAGCAAGGAGGCAGGTGGAAGGAGGACAGGGCCGATCGACCTCTGACGGCTGATGCGGTACGAGGATCCCGTTCTATCGCTGCACCTTATCCGCCTCGTGTACAGGCGGGGAGTAGGAAGAGTCGCGCGAGCGATAGAGGCTCGCTGGAGGACATGGAGGTTTCCTGCTGCTGTTGATCGCCCTGCTATCGTCCTGACTGAATCTGCACAGAAGGGCTTCGATGTCGAGGAGGCCTCGGACAGCAGCCTCCTCCACCTCCTGCAGAGTGAGGAAGAGGATGTGTCGCATGCTTCCCTCCAAGACCAGGACCATCCTTTCAGCTCCGACAGTGACGACGGCGTTGCTGCTGCTGCTGTTGATCTCAACGACGGCGTCGACTCTGGTATCGACCGATTTCTCTCGCGGAAAGCTCAACCCCGGGCGAAGGCCCAGCACAAGAATCACCTGCGAAACATCTTGAAGAGGTTGGACAGAGTCCAGCAGGGCCCAAACTCGCTGGATGCTCTAGAGAAGTCCGAGCGGGAGGAGAGATACCAGAAAGAGGCTGCGGAGGAGAGGGAGACGAGAGAGGAGGATAGGTGGAAGGAGGAGATGAAGGAGGCGGCTGATGGGGACGAGGTGGAAGGGAGGTGGTCGTCGTCCAGGACTGTCAGGAGGACGAGGAGCGAGCGGGGGACCGCGAAGAGACCGCAAGGTTCTTCATCCATTGTGACATCGAAGGCTCCACAGGGTGAAATCTCCTCGAAAAGTCTCGAAGAGCGCGTTGCTGCAAGAACGGGTCACCAGCTCTCTTCATCCTCTTCCTCCTCCTCTGCTGCTGCTCCTGCTGCAGCCCCTGTTTCGTCCTCATCCTCTCCTGTGGCTGCTGGGCAGGACAAGGACGCGATCCGCAGGCAGGAGGAGGAAGCTAGGTGGAAGGAGGCGATCGGGAAGGAGATGAGGGGGGCCGAAAGGAGCTCGGCGTCTGCTGGGAAGACCTCAAGGGCCATCGACGAGAAGTTTGATGAGATCGAGAGGGGCATGACGTCGGAGGAGGACGGGGACGAGGGCAGCGGAAGCTGGGCTGCTGCTGGGGGAGGAGGTGGAGATCATTCTTCCTCGCCTGCTCCCTCCTCCTCCAAGGTCTCCTTCCAGCTTGACAACCTCGCCAAGGACCTGCTGTCCGGGAGCTCGCAGAATCCTAGCGGCGGAGCAGCAGACAAAGCAGCGAAGCCGAGCATGCTGGAGAAGGAGAAGGAGGAGGAGGAGGAGGAGGAGGAGGAGAAGCGGCAGGAAGCGAAGCAGAAGCTCGAGAAGCAGCGCAAGAGGGAAGAGGAAGAGGAGGCGAAAGAAAAGGAAGAGGAGGAGCAGAGAAAGAAACTGGCACGACAGAAGCTTGAACAGCAGAAGGAGAAACAGGAGCAAGAAAGGGCAAGGGAGGAGCGGGAGCAGGAAGAAGAAAGGAAGGAGGAAGAGCGGAGGAAGAAACTGGAGAAGCAGAAGCTTGAGCGAGAAAGAGAGAAGAAAGAGGAGGAAGACGAGAAGAAACAGGAGGAGCGAGAAGAAGCAAAGAGGGAGGAGGAACGACGGCAACTCTTGGAGAGGAGGAGGAAGCAACAGCTACAGGCGAAGCAGGCTAAGAGAAAGAAGGAGGAAGAGGAGAAGGAAAGGCAAGAACGGGCCGCCCAGGAGGAGAGGGAGGAGGAGAGGGAGGAGGAGAGGGAGGAGGAAGCGTCTTCGAGAGCTTCGATGAAGCAGCAGGCTAGTTCGCCCGCAGCTGGGGTGAGTCACTTTACTCGTCCACCTCGCCCCTGACGCCCAGCAGGACCCGAGCTGGGGTGACCTGCTGTCATTCTTGAAGGGAAGGTCGACGCACTTGACTAGCTCGCCACCTCCCCCACCCTCTGCCCCACCCCCCCCACCTCCTCCCCCAGCTGAGGTTGAAGAGGCTCCTGCTCCGCAGGTGAGAGCTTGCGCTTAGTTGATGGCTTAGGATGTTATCTTCTTCTGCCCTCCCCTTTCTCCTCTCCTCTCTTCCCCTCCCCTCCCCTCCCCTCCCCTCTCTTCCCACCTCCTCTTTTCTCTTCTCCTCTCCTACGGGTCTTTTACCCTACTCAAACGTCTCATTGGCTTCTCCTTCCAGATCTATTCGCCTCCTTCACCATCACCGCAGCAGATTTCAGCTGCACACGAGAACGAGGTCTCATCCTCCTCCTCGTCGTCGGGTGATCAACAGGAAACGCAGCACGTTGTTCAGCATGCTCAGAAGATCAAGGTATCCCATGAAGCCTCCTCCTCCTCATCATCCTCTTCCTCGCTCCCTCGCTCCCTCGT